CCGGGCACCGGGGGTGAGTGGGCGCCGCCCTTGTCCTTGTGGCGACTTTGCGTGGAACGTGCCTGCTGCGCAGCGCCGGCACCGGGTCCTGTGTGGAGTCGTGTGTGTATGTGGTGTGTGTGTGTGTATGTGGTGTGTGTATGTGTATGTGGTGTGTGTGTGTGGTGTGTGTATGTGTATGTGGTGTGTGTATGTGGTGTGTGTAAGTGGTGTGTGCTGGTGTGTGCTGTGCTGTGCGCTGTGCACGGTCCAGGCCTTGCTCCAGTGGCCTCAGTGTGACGTGAGGCCGCACTTCTCCTTTCCTGCAGTAATTTGGTATCGGAGGGGAAGCTGGTGCAGGATTAGCGTTCACCCAAGATGGCTCTGAGTGTTTGGAAACCATAAATGATAAAAGAAGCTGTGACACATGGTGGCCCAAACGAGCTGTTTTAACGTTCCAAAGGGTCATCCAGAAACCAGACCTTTGAACTTGGCCGCCTGTACTTTGTGGTTTGAGCTTTCGGTGCGCATGCCTGCTCATTTTTCCGAAATAAGACGTGTCCAAAACTGATCCTGCAGCCACCTCTGTGCAAATACGGGCTGAGACCAAAGATTAGGTTTGGTCTTGATTTGCCTGGTTTTATTTGAGATAGGAGTAGCATGCTCCGAGTTGTTGAAGCAGTTGCAAGAGTAAGCGTATTCTGGGACATCTGAAGGGGTTTTATGTTATATGAATAGAAAAAACTGTTCTTGACCAGCCTTTGGGAAGCAGCCAGTCGTGGGCAAGGAGGAAGACTTCTAGCAGTCATATGCTGGAAGGAATCAGTCTTTTTGCAAGAATCAGTATCTTCTTGCTTTTGTAAACAGTATGTAATTTGCTAAAACTGATTTAGGATTGTAATTAGAGAATAGATTGCAGTCGTGTGAGTTGGTTGAGTAAGGGCAGTGCAGGCAGATGATTTTGGCTCTGATTTGGTGGCATCAGCAGCCTTTGCCTGATGTGTGTAGCCAGCTCTCGTTTTATTGCTTTGACTTTTTGCATCTTCCCAAGGAAAGGAAAGAGAAAAGGAACATCTTGCTTTGTTATGAGCTAATAATTAAGCAACTGAATGCAACAAATAGAAGACACATCGTAGTCTGTTGCACTGCCAAAAGGAGTTGAAGTAAATAGTGTGCGTGGGGAATATTTCCAAAGAAAAGTGACAAGATACTTTTTTAATGGAGATCAGGAAGTACTCTCTCTCCCAGCCCTCAGTAAAAAATTCCATCTATAGGACTTCACTGTTTAAAAAAAATTACAGAAATTAGACAGAAGATGGTTTTCTGGCTTCAGAATTATGTTTCTTAATGTTTTCTCTCAGGGACTCGCATCCTTTGCTACTGGGCCCAGACAAAATAACAGCATTTTCTATGAAATTCGCACATACGACATTAAGCCATCGAAGATGAAGGAGTTTGTGGAAATGGTCAACAAGTATCTTCACCTTCGCACAGCTCACTCGGAGCTGGTGGGATTCTGGTCTGCAGAGCTGGGAGCGATGAATAAAGTGGTCCATGTTTGGAAGTATGGTATGCTCAGAGTCCCTCTGCACTGCTCTGCTCTGTCTGTGCTTCCTGTCTCCTAGGCAAGAAGGCAAGGAGAGTACTTAATTGGCTTTGTTTTGTTGGTATTACTGTATTCCTGTACTGATTACTGAAAAGAACACTGCAGAGCCTGTCAGGACAATTTTGGCAGGTTGGGGTGAAAGAGCGAACAGTGGTCTCTGCTCAGAATAGGTATAATAAAGGGGCTGCATTGGAGTGTTTTGTTTGCGGAAGTAGTTTTTACTTAGGGCCAGGTGAGAGCCACGAATGTCTTCAGAATTTCAAAATGGTTGGAAAAAAGTTTCAAACAATCTATGTGCAGCCTGTGTATGTTTATATGCATGTATAATTGTTCTCAAATTATAGTTCATTGTAACAGTCACTCCCACAAACCAGTGCGTACACAATTTCCATGTTTAAATTCCTTCTGCATCTGGACTATGCTGAGATGGGAAGCCACTCCACCAGCTCTGACTTCCATAGTGCAAGAAGCGTTTCATTATCTCTTCAGCCTTGGTGGCAACAGGCTTCTTGCAGTATAACCAGCTTTTTCTGTTGTTGGAGTTGATGCTGACGTGGAAGGTGCTAGTGAGCCAGGAAAAGCAACAATTTTGTGAGAAACTGGATATGCTGGCTGTGATCTTTGTGGAGCCCAAGGGAACTTGATACTTGGCTTATGGAGAGGTGGGAAGGCACACCAGTGTCGTTTCTTTGTATGCCTGCTGCAGTCCAGGGTATATCTGTGTGGTGAGACAGAGGATTTTGTTTCTGAAGTTCTCAGGCTGCTTGTTGAAATCCAGCATGTTCACAGTACCTGTTCAGAATAAAGGATCACCCTTTTTATCATGGAGGGTTGAAGGCACCAGCCATCTGTCAACAGGAATATTATGAGTTTACATGCATATATGGAGATAAATTGTCCTGCTTCTCAGAACCTTTTAGCCTTGTCTATTGTTTCTTTCTCTAAAACCAAATCAAAACAAAATTTAATAATCTGTGGCAAACTTTAAAAGTGCAAAACTAAAGAAGAACCTACAAATTTTATGTTTCCTGATGATGTAAGGTGCAACATTTTTTCTCCTTGATTCATCATTGATATAATTTTCTCTTAGTCTCAAGATACTATTATTTCTCAAGGTTTTTCCTGTTCTCAGATGCTGGATTTTTCTCCTGTGCTATTATGGAAAGCTGTTAATATAAACATACTGTTTAAAATGCCACACAGCCTAACAAATTGCAATTCTGACGCTCCTAATTCAGTGGATTATTTTTTTTTTAAAAAAAAAGAAGAAAATTTTTAGATTTTGTGCATTTAGCAACTTTTTATTAGCTGAACGGACAAGCATTACTTCTACGCTTGAAATTTTAGTGCTATTTTAAAGTCAAAATTTAATTCTTAATTTGATTCTTAATTTTCTCTTGGTAGGCTAATAATCCTTCTCAATTTCCTTTTCCACTGTATTTTCTTCAGATCTCCTTGTCATTGGTAGCTGTTGCCACATCCAGTAGTCCCTGTGGATGTTATATATGAATCTTTCTTAACAGTAGCATTGCTTAATGTATTTTAACTTTTTTGTAAGCTTTCTTCAAAAATTTGGTTTTATTTGAAACCGTTTAACTCTGAGAGCTAAAGCAAAGATTTTTGCAGCAGTTAGTGGAAACTTAGCACATCTGCTTTAATATGATGTTTAAAAGTGACAATTTCAAACTAATAAAAGTGCGGCTTGCCTCGTTCTACTTTTACATTTTGATTGAGTCTGATGTGACATTAAGTGCATGTTTTCATAGTTTTGGGTGGGTTTTTTTCTTTTTTTTTTTTTTCCTTTCTTACAGATAGTTTTGCCCACAGAACAGCAGTTCGGCATGCACTAGCCAATGACAAGGAGTGGCAGGGGAGACGCTTGACTCTTCTCCTCAATTCTCCCCACGGTAGAGAAGCAGCACAATGAAGTTGCTTATCTGGTACCCTGGTGTCAACTTGGGAAGCCTCCAAAAGAAGGGGGTTAGTTTATCTTCTGTTTTGCTGATTAAAGTTACTGATGCTGAAGGCTAACAGAAAAATGGCTTAAAGTTTAAACCACGTATTACATGGTTTTATAACCCTTTATGTAACAGGTGCATTTACCTACACCCACATGAAAAAGGTGACATAATACAGATGAGGAACAAAGTTTTTAAGGATTTTACACTAATTTAGATGAATAACTGACTACAGCCCTGGTCACTGAGATTGTAGAGAGATGTGTGAATTGCCTGCATGAACAGACAAAGTGACAACGCAGTAATAGTGGTCAGAGTAGTCATCCTGGACTTCATCCATCAGTGAGAGGGTTTTTCCTGGAGATATTAAATGCCATGATCGTTCTCTTCCACAGAGGTTATTCTCTTTTATCAATTGGCTTTGAAGTTACCGGCTCTTTTGCGTAGAAGTTTTAAGAAAAACAAAAAAAAAATCCCTACGTTTTAAAGATACATGCAAGTCGAGCATACTTTGTAACAATTATAGATTAGATATGGACATGTTATCCTTAAATTCTCTGTAGCAAATGGAGTATTTGCAGTATTGAATGGTCCCAGTTTTATGAAGATTTGCTGCATGGAGTGGTAAGCATATGCATACATACAGTAATCTTTGTTCTTTATTTCCCTGTGATTCCCAATTTTATGTTGTTACAATTGAATTTAAAAGCAGTTCAGTTTCTCTTAAAACCGGAGAGCTTACTTTTCAAACACTTTCTTCCCATTTTATTTTATCTCCAGCCAGTTGTTGGAGAATGAGACCAGACATAAAACGCTGTATGGCAAGGGTCTAGCTTTCAATTAAAGGGTCAGAAATTGTGATCTAGAGTAACTACCTGAGCAGAAAGGAGACAGACAATGTGTCTTGTAGCAGGACTGGAGTTTTCTGGTAGAGCATGCCATTTGTCCACAAACAAGGGAGATTGTTTGGCAGAGCAGAGATGCTAAGCTAGTCATCTTCTGCTGGTTATTCCTGCAGATCATGCTGTAACCAATTTCCAGCACTCAGGGGAGTTCATAATGTCATAAATGACTTCAATGCCAGAAAACAGTGCCAGTCTTAGAGAAGGCCACCTTGCATTGTTCAATCAGCCATCCAAATCCTGCAAACATGTAAGAGCATTTGTGATTTCTGCAAAGTAGTCTGAGCCTCCCAAAATTTCCAGGCAGCACTGAAAACTGCCGGGTTGGACTTTGTTGCAAAGTTCCTCACGGTCCCAGTACTTACATTTACACTTGACCTAGCTCTGGTTAGTGAGCTGCTTGCCTGTGCACTTGTGAGCACCTGGGAGCTGTGACATGTTGTGCATGAGGGGATGAAGGAGCAATTTCATGTCCTGCTGACCCTAAATGGCAGAGAAGTGCAATACTGGTTTCACAATAAGTATGTTGTGTCCATGACACAGTGTTTAAGAACTGACATATTAATTTCTATTTCCTTTCCTGAGGTTGTCTTTGCCTTTTGTTCCAGGAGTATATGAATGGGTTACTTTCCAGATGAAGCCTGGTGGGCCAACATTGTGGGGTGAAGCATTTCAAGCTGCAATCAATGCTCACATCAACACAGGCTACACCAAGCTGATCGGTGTTTTCCACACAGAGTATGGATTACTTAACACAGGTACTACTCCAATTTCTGATACAGACTTTGGCATGGGAAGGAGTGGAGAGAGAGGGGCGAGCCCTTATCCTGGATCAGGATTGGCCAGCTTGATGAAAATATTGGTGTGCATCACCAAAGTCCTGTAAACAGTCCTTGAACCCAGCTTTGTGTACTGGGTTATAGGCTTAAGCCAGGTGCTACTATCCTAAAAGACTTTCAGATCCAATGTTAGAGAGTCAAACCTCTTAAAGGCTCAAAAAAGGATCATCCCACCACTTTCCTGAAGAATTGTTCCTGCTAACTGCAAAGCATCTAACAGGTGAAGGCAGACTAATAGGACTTATAGTACATGTTGTATTACAGCAGTAACGATATTCAGCTGACTTTATTTGTACTTTCCTCAGTCCATGTGATCTGGTGGAATGAGAGCCAAGATCACCGGGCAGCAGGAAGGCACAGGGCCCATGAGGATGCCCGAGTGGTAGCAGCTGGTAAGAGACAATGGATCCAGAGAACTCACTAATGTTACCTGCATGCATACTGAAAAAAGTATTATTTCTCATTGGATTACTGTCCTAATTAAGTATGCATTTAATTTCAGTGCGGGACAGTGTCAGATTCTTGGAGTCCCAGGAAAATATGCTACTGATTCCTCTTCAGTGCTCACCGCTGAAGTAACCTTCTTCTAAAGGATGTAAGAGATGGCAGAAAGGACAAGATGGAAGTGCGGTCAACCAGTGACAACACATGGATGATCATACCCTCATGAATCATAAAATAGTTTGGGTTGAAAGGGACCTTAAAGATCATTTAGTTCCAACCCCTGTGAACAAGCCTTTCCTGTTCAATGGTGTAGTCAAACTCAGCTGATCTACACATGCTTACATCTTTGAAATACTTTTTGCCAGACTGCTAAAATCCAAATAAATTTGTATAAAGCATGAATTTTTAGTGTTTACAGCTAAAGCTCTTTTTCTAAACTCTGAAATGATAAACCCCATTCTCCAAGTACAACATTTTGCAGGTCTTGCATTTTGGTCAACAGCAGTCTTGCTAAGAGTTGCTTTAGGGCCAGGAAGCTAGAGTGAATAGCAGCAGGACAGAGGGCACGTGGCCTGAGAGGTCATTGTGTACCGTCGTCGTATGGAGCACCCTCTTCTGCAGTTTGAAGGTCAGTTACTGGCACAGCACTGGCGAGGCTTTTCCACAGGTTAATCACTGACCTGCAAAGAGCAATTGATTTCACTTCTCCACTGAAGTATCTTTGTGCAGTCTACCTAATGATTATGGCTTGTGAAGTGCATTAAGGTCTCACAGAAAGCACTAAAAAAACAGCTGTAGGCAATTATGCGTATGTCCAAGGAGGGTGGATGGGAACCAACTGCTGTAGTTAAGAGACTGTCTCCTCTCTCCAACAAACCATTTTCAGCATTCTCAGGGTGGAACAAACGCTACTTCAGAGACTACTGTTTCACTGTCTTGTATTTTACAAATCCACTTTTTAAGCTATAAATGCCTGATGAACCATCACTACCAACTTGATCCAGGATGTTGCCTTAAGACATTTAACACATAGGACTTTAATAAGAAAAACATGGGCTGAAAACTGTGGCAGGGAATTTATAGGGATTTTTTTTCCCCCACATGAAAACAAAAATTGTTTTCTTGTTTACTGGAATAAAAAAAAAATAGAGGCATACCAAAAAGTATAAAAAGTAAACTTATTTTCCTTGTCACCAGCATTGGAAGTAAAGAATACTCACGATGTTGGAGGTGTGCTTTATTCCCAAGTTTGTTGTTCTCTGGCAAGAACCAAAGAAACAGCTGGACACTAGATTAAAGCAGAAAACCCAGGAAATTTTAATTGGCTTCTTATCTCAGGATTAATTTTCCTGATGAGTGTAACTTGAAGAATTGGTTGTATTCCAGAACTTCATTGGTTAATAGTGGGAATACAGGCAGTAGTAGGCAAAATTTTAACATCAGTTTTCCTTTGAGCACTCAGACCATTATTCTGCTTTCATTTGTAAACTGCCATTCAAAATCAACCTAATATTAGCTTGAGTGATCCTCCTGTGCTATTAGCTAAGGGTTAGGCAAGTTTAGGATTTCAGTCTTTCTACTCATAGTATTTTGCTTTGCCAGTGAAAACAGGCATAGGATATTTCTAGCCAAGAGGAGAAACAAATATCAATAGCTGCAACTCGTCTCTGTAATGGAAATACTCAAGTTACGCTCTGCAGCTGGATTTGACAGTTACATCAACCACTTCTTTCAGGTGTTGCTGGAGACCTTTTTATTTACTAACATTAGAAGGTTAAAGTACCACTTGCCTTTCAGCTCTTAATCCACATCACCTGTCAGAAAAATAGTATGGGCCCCAAGCTAATTTGTAGAGATACAGGAACTTGCTACTACATTACACACAATTCACATCAAAACAAAACCAGACAAAACAAGATTCTAACAGCACTCCTCAAAAGAACACAGGCAAAAATGACATTTTGAAGACCAGTGGTGCCATAACAGCTTTATTTTTTATGTAATACAAGGCAATTAGAGAGCCTTTTAATACTTCACGTAACAGTTATTAGCAAATACAAATATAACTTTTTTTTTTTTTTGCTTTTAATGAAAATGTCCATTTAAGAGTTTAACTTAGAAATTTCGGGTGTGAAATCTCTCTAGATTTTTGCAAAGTTAACAGATATTCCAGTGCAAAAATAGATCCCATTACAGATAGCATAAAGTGCTTGGAATGAAGGACCAACTATAATTCACTGGGGAAGGATAAGCGAAAAGTGGTGATTTAACCATGGGGAAAAAAATACAGATCCTTGCTGAAGTACAAATATACTACAAAGAGGGATGCAACAGGTCAATAGTAATAATGTTTAAAATAAGTTAACACCTCAGTGCAGTTTCATTATCAAGAGTGGCGCATATACTCCATGTGACTCTAGAGTGATTTTTTTCCCCAAAACACACCTCTAAGAGTAAAACAGTGGCTGTCTGAACTTAATCCATGACAGATCTTCATGTGAGAGCTGCATTATGCTGTCTGTTGAGTACAAAGACAGTTCAGAGCTGTGAAACAGTTTGGTTAATATCCATGTTTATTGTAATATTTTGTCAGATATAACAGAGTCCATATGAGCATGACAGGGCAATAGGAATCAAGAATCTCTTTTTGGTAGGCTAATGGTGTAACTGTTGTTTCCTGTTAAAATTATCATTTACATGAGCAGTTACAAAAAGCAAACCTTCATGACCATAACTGAATCCTCCCACAACTTGTTCTTAGTTCTACAAGCACTAGTTTAGTGCAGTGCAAAACTCAAGCCCTTCACTTCGGAGACTTAATGCTGATTTGTAATAGCAAATAGATTTTTAGCAGTGGTAAGCCTTCCATACACGCTGTTTGTTCCAAGTGATACCATAACTTACCTACAGCCTGTTCTAGAGAAGTCACGGCTGTATACACGCTATTTGTTCCAAGTGATACCATAACCATACAGCCTGTTCTAGAGAAGTCACGGCTGTAGCTTGGCTGTTTAGTAAATTTTTCTGCACCTGGACATCTGGTGTATTCATCACCCTGTAACTCATCCCCATAGGGTGATGATGCCAAAAAGGTAATAGCAAAGCATGTTTTAAGTGAGGTATACCAATCCCCATTACACTCCTTTCTCAATCCCCTTAGCAATGTATTATACAGATTTTTTTTAAAAAGTGTGAAAAAGGCACTTCAGCAGAGCATGTAGTAAGCTCTTAATTTATCTCAAGGCAGGACACAGCAGGGACTGCGAACTCATGCTAAACATTTAACTGTTTGTGTTTTAAAAATGCTGAAGTGGACAGTGTTACTAAGTAGACGTAAAAATACATAATCAACCTCCTTCAGGCTCATCCAGCCTGGATTTTTGGGCTACTACAGGCATTCACAGAAGAAAATGGTGCATGGTTGATTCATGGCCGAGTAGCATCAAGAACTAGCACAGAACCTCTGTCGGCGTTTAAGGTGGAGGCATAACATAAAGGAATAGCCCAGGCACTGCACTTGGGTTCAAACAACATTACTGAACCTATTTCTGAATGTAAAAGCAATACAGAGGGGCCTGTATTAACGAAAGCATACTCTCCCATGACTGTTGTACAACGTGAACAAGAATTTGTTCTTAATATATCACACCTCCTGTAACATTATTCTGGCTTGTAAAACTTTTAATATTACTGGCTGATGTAACTGTAGCATTACTATTTTGAACTATCTTGCTCCTAAAGGGGATTTTTACTGAAACAGTTTGTCACATGTATAAAAAAAGGCATATTCTCCAGTTAGGGATCACGTAATGATTGAAACTACACTGCACAACAGAAGTAGAAACTTACACATTAATCTAATGTTATACAAGTTTCCAAATGAGAAAATTTTACATTAACAACTTGCAGTAATTGCAGATAGCAGCTCATTGCTAGAGTCTGGAACTTGGTCAGATCATGAATGTAGCTATCGCTGAATGGAGAGAATGAGAGCATAACATTGCAGGCATAATGTAAAGAAATACTGTGGCTACAAAGATCAACTCAAAGCACTTTCAATCCCTAATTATGCTACCTACCTATTTAAAGTCATAAATAATACTGTTTAAAAAAAAATAAATCTACATCTTGTTTCTAGTTTGATCTGGCAAAGCCAGAGATGGCAACATGCTTGTGCTAAGCAATAACTTCAGACAATGGGTACCTTTCTGGTGCAAAGCAGGGGTTAAAGAGCAGATAGTACATATCAGAGTGACATCTCATGATCTAGAATTTGCTCTTGGCATTAGCAGCTTGTACAACTACTGAGTTTGCCGCTGTGGTCCAAACCCTAGGTCTGCTTCTCACCCACCTCCTCTTACTAGGTGTTCATGCAGCTGCTGCAAGTACCTCAAAGGAGCAGGAGAGTACTTAACTACACAAAAGCCTAGTCAGAGTGGGTTATTGGTTGTGATGCTGGTGGGACAACCCTGTGCATTTTCAGAGCTCACAGTTCTGCATGTTACCACTTAATGATGAAGATATATGGATAATATGGCCTGTTTCTTGCCATCCCATGTGCACAGTACTGCTTTGTGGCCTCAGACTTGTCACCAACTGACCTAACACCAGTCTAGAAGCAGCAGCTGGTCAGGTAAGTTTTCTGAGTCTACGGCTATAACAGTGGTGGTGAGTTTTCTGGCCACTGACTGTCTTGGTGCATTCATTGCCAGCAATGGATGTAGCACCAGGTAATTCCCAACTCCTGACATGAATGTTTTAAAGACTAAAACATGCATGTCTAAAATATCTATAAATAACCACTGGCCATGATTCCTCAAATGAGCTATTTTTGCAACCCTAGTAAAATTATACTGTACAGGACGAGATACAGTATATTTCAAAGCCCACAGCATCTGGTGGGTGCTTTACCACAGCTTCAGAGTTATACTGTAATGAGCTAAGTTCAAGTTTTTCACTTGAGAACAGTACAAGACGACTCCATGAGGCACTGCCCCTGTAAAGGAATTTTGTTTTCATTGCATTGAATTGCATTGCATTGAATGGTTATCAGTAGAGTGTCCAGTTTCTCTTCCTCTATCTTCTTCTTTGGGAGTATCCTATCCCAGGAAAAGGAAGTTTGCATTCTGCTCATAATTTCTTTGCTGAAATTGGCTCACACACAACTTTCTTTCACCTTCTCATCTTGCAGGAAGGAATTAAGGATTGCAATGTCTACCACAGTCTGGTTTTTGTGCAATGACAGGTCCTTAGTGTGGTCATCGTCGCTTTGGTCCTTAGCAAAATTTACAAATACCTACAGGAAAAAAGACGACATCACACATCACCTGGGATTTTCATTAATTCAGGGCATTTTATAGACTGGACTAGTCCTGGGATTCAGTACACAACTTTGCTGAAATGTCCTTAAAAGACAGGTCCAGCAAACTGGTGGATTTATTCCTACCTCTGCATGAAGCAGCTTCTGGCAGACAGGCTACTAAAAACTTACTTGGTCAAGCGTGGTCTGAGAAACGGAGTAGTCTTCTATGTGGAGTCTCTTTTTGTTTTGGGAGAGAATACTGAATATTCTGGACAGGGAGGATGGTGAAGAGGGAAGCTGGTACTGCAGCATATTCCGATGCTTTTCCTTTAGGACGCTTCCAGGGAAGGCATGCCCAAAGAACTCCTCAACAGGCTTCAGGTCTGGGTTAGCCCCTGCAATTCTCACCACTATGGTGTAACCATCTCCAAACCTGCAACAAGAGGACCAGCATGAGAGTTAAACGTCTTTGAAACAGAAGTGCAGCTTAAAAACCAAGCAGCATTTCCCACAGCAGAAATAGCAACGGGAATGCTGCAGGAGGAATTAAGTCTGACTGTATCTTTCTAAAGCCGTAGGCAACTCTGTAGCGTAAGTCAAAAGAAAACAGCTACCTGTTCTTTAGATGCTGGACACTGCCCAGGCACCTGAACCGTCCGTTGACCATTATCGCCATCCGAGTGCACAGCGCTTCACATTCTTCCATGCTGTAGGCAGACGGAAATTCATTAGCACTGCAAGCAGCGGTGAATGGCCGAGCAGCCAAGCAGAGTTTAGCATCCAGCCCTGGTACATGCAAAAGCCAGGGTATGATACAACTGGGCTGCTACTTGCCTGTGGGATGTGAGCACTACTGATCTCCCCTCCTTGATTACACTCAGAGCACAGTTCCACAAGAAACGGCGTGCTTTTGGATCCATCCCTGTTGTTGGCTCATCCTGCAAAACACATATGAAGAACAGGTTATGCTGTCAAATTCTACAAACACCTCATCTCTGAAATGACCTGTCAATTCTGATTATGCATACTGGAAACACTGAAAAAATAAAGCAAGTTGGTCTCATTTTCCAAAGTGAGAAAATTATATATGCTCCAAATTTTGAATTGGCAAACCTCTTCAGAACTGCAAAGTACTGCTATCGTAACATTGAAATATCCAATTTTAAAACAACTTAAAGTCAATTACCTTGTTTAAATGAGGCAGTTAACTATTTTCTCCTGCACTATGAACTTTAGTAACCTTAAAGTTTGTCCTTGATTCTAAAGAATCAAAAAATATTTATTTCTGATTTTCATTGAATTATTAAAAACTCGGGATGGATTCTCCTGCACAGTAAGCTTCACTAATGTCCAGCAGGAAGGCTGTTGTGTTTTGGTAGGTATAAAAATCCCTGCAGCAGTGTTAAGGTAATGAAGATGCTACACAGTTGGCATTTTTGGCATCATGTTCGAGACACCCACTTCCTCAGTGATCATTCAGAAACAGAAGCCTTGAGGCACATTATAGCTTGCACCTACATTTAAATACAGAGTCTTTATTTCCACGTGCTCTTTGCCCATGTTTAAGTGACCAATGATATATTTAAACATTTGCTGACAGTGAAAATAACTAGCCTTCATTTGTACTCAATTCATCTGTTTTCCAAGGAAAATGTTAATGAGCAAAGGCTGCAGACTCACCAAGAACACAACAGGTGGCCCTCCAATGAGGGCAATGGCTGTGGAGAGCTTGCGCCTGTTCCCTCCACTGTAATTTCCAGCATATTTTTCTCCATATTTCACAAGGCCGAGCTTCCGAATTGCCCACTCACCAACCTACAAGAGACAGCACAACACCATTTTGAAGTAAGCACAGTAACATCTATGCAATAAGATTTTCCTCATGAGCTTTGGCATTAAAAACATTTTCTAGAAAGACCACTCGTCTGAGGATCTAATGTGGCATGGACATACGGGATTTTAATCACTCTGTTCACCTGTAGATGCAGGATATATGCAATCCTGCCTCTGGGAGGCCAGAAAAAAAATCAAATGGCTGCAGGCTATTGGCCAGTGAACACAAGTTCAACATCAACTGAGCCGTGTTAAGCACCAGCGCAGTGCTCCTAGCAGCACCAGCTTTAGTGAGCTTTCCAGTTGTTGTGGGCTTGCAGCAGGGGCACAGTAACTACTGAAACACGGAAATCCCACTGTGGTGCATCTTAGTCCTTCAGGCAAATAGGGAGGATCTGGTTTCTTATTCAGGAGCATTACTAATGGTGTCAACAGGCAGGCAGTGTTGCCCTGGGGACTACAACATGTTAGGACGAAGAGATTCAGCTACTGCTCAGATGATACCCAGAACTGAGTTCCTTTTAACATAAGGCCGGTGGGTACATCACACAGAGGAACTTTCTAGCAACCTTTGCAGTTTCTACCCATCACTGCTACTCTCAAAGAGGGATTGAAGCTACCTGGATACACTCTGGGCACAGAATCTGGCCCTATCCAAAGCACTGAGCACAGATGTCATCTTCTACCTACAGCATTACCTGTTCTGCAGCACCCAGGACACATATAGCAAAAACTGCTGTGAACTCAAGGAAAGAGCGCTAAGACGGGTGCTGTATGGTATGGGCAGCTGTCATTAATTGCCTAAAGGCTGTTAGTGTAACCCCATGTCTGAATGCTGAAACAACGCTTTAGTGCTGCATCAGCACTTTAGCGATGCAGCACAATCAACTGGAAAGATGTGACAGCCCGCATCGGGCTTCTGTTAAGCTGTAGAGTGCTTGCTCCCTGCGACTTCAAAGAATTAACTCTGGACAGCAAGTGATGTTCTGCACAACCTGCAACTCCACAGCCCTTAAAGGAAATAAGTCATTCACTGGAGAAGTTCATCCACTAAGAGAATGGTGAACCCGAAGTATCTGCTCTTCTGTTTAGTACACCTTTCTATGCAGCACTGAAAAACTACAGCAAGTTTGCTTTGTCCTGGAAGGAAATGGGGGCAGATTTAACCATCCTGTATCTTCAGCAACTTAATATCATGGCATTGCATGAGTTACAGGAAAGATGCATGCAAGCAAGAAGTTGGTCACTGGGATGGGTCCTACAGAGTTTCATTTACCTTGCAGACTTCTTTCTCTGGAACACCTCTCAGGAGGGCGAAGAACTCCAAGTGCTCTCGCCCTGTCAGCAGTTCATTAACAGCATCAAACTGTGGGCAGTAGCCCATATTCTGATGGACTTCTTGGATGTTGGACAAAATACTGTAAAAAAAAAAAAGCAACAAACAACCCCTTCGATAAGATTTCACAAGCACATGCTGCTATTTTTAGGTGTTAAAAGGAAAAGAGGGAAACAGTGGTTTGGGAATTACTAAACTAAAAAAAATTCAGGATCTGAGAAGTCCACCTTGGCCAAATTCTTCTTTCTCTCTCTCTCTCTCCATACCCTCTCCCTTTTTTTAAACATGACATTTAAACATGAAGGGACAGGTATTCAGAAGTGACTACCAGAATAAGCAATTTTCCTAAGCCACTGAAGTACTTTACCAGACTTGGCAAAGGGCTGAAATAGATGACAGTAGTTGAAAAAGGGAAAAGTGGGGCAGAGTTTAGACTTGCTGGAGGTGGAACAATGCTGGAGGAGAAAGCAGCAAGGGACCAGCTTTGATACAAGCAGAGGAAAGATGTAAGGGCTTTCACCTGTTTCCTTTCAGGAAAGCTTCTCCTCCTGTCACATCTGTATCTCCAGTCAGCATCTTAAAAGTGGATGACTTGCCAGCACCATTTACTCCCAGGAGTCCAAAGCACTGGGAATACAAAAGAGCGTATGAGCACAATGTGTTTGGGAACAGGATTCAGCTGCATCATTTTCAGCACTGACAATATGGGAAGGAGAAAACTTGACCCTCAGGACAGCTGGAGGGAGTCTTTAGTGCATTTTCAAAGAAAGACTTCTGGACTTCCATTTTAAGGGGGCCGGTTAGCTCAGTGGTTTGAGCAGCAGTGCTGACAACGGTGACAACACCGAGGTCGCGGGTTCGATTCCCGCTCGGTCCCCATGTGTTGCCTGGTCTAGTCGAGAGGTGGCGTCCCTGCCCATGACAGGGAGGTTGGATTAAAATGATCTTTAAGGTCCCTTGCAGCCTAGGCCATTCTATGATTCTATGATTAAGCATAAATCTTTGGGCTGGCAAAACGAACAAACTGTGGTGTCACCTTGATGTAGTACCACCACAGCATATCTGTGCCAAACCTTGGAGGGTACCAGAGTTTGGCCTCTGGTTCCAGACACTGAGGGTTCAATATCCTCTTCAAAGGCAGAGGGACACAGAATCAGAAAATGCTTCAACTTCCAGGCAATTTCCTTTGATGTAACTTGAACATCATCTGGTTCTGATCTCACCCTACCCTTTGCTGTCCGTGGCTCTTAAATACTGCAGTAATAGCAAGGCAATGAGTTTAACAGCTAAGCTTACCTCTCCAGGGGGGATTCCAACACAGATCCTATCAACTGCTGGCTTTCGCTTCATTCTGTAGATCTGAAAACAGAAGAAAAAGAATGAGAAGGACAACATCAAAGAGAACTGTAACTTGAACCGTACACATTCAACACTCCAAACACACTCCAGTTTTGACCACACTAAATTCCTCTGAATGAGGCTTCTAGTGAACGGCATGGTTTTGTGCCAACAAGGCTTAGGAATGCAGAACTTCTCTGTCACCTTGGTTAGCTCCTTTATTTCCAAGATGTCACTCTGTCCTCCTCCACTAATTATTCTCTGTCTCTCTCTGGTTACATCCTCATCTTCATCATTCACAGGAGGCAGCTTGGCATAAACAGGCCTGGGGAAAGCAACATGATAAAGCCTTAGTGGATGATGGCAGGCCCTCCGCAGTTAATATTCTTTCCCCTTCATGAGGGACACCAGTGAAATCTTCACCTGCCTGCAGTGGAACGGACAACCTACCTGGGTTTGATGAAGAACCTGTACTGGATGAGCACTGTAATGAGGAAGAAGACCACGCCCTCTACTGCCATTGCAAAGAGGTTCCTTCCCACCAGGTCCCAGGACAGAGGGGACACAAAACGATTCTCTCCTGCCAAAAATGAGATGAAGAGTACAGTCACCTTTTCCAGAGCAATGGCAGTGGGCTAGCATTTCTCCTGTAGAGCTCATCAAGTTGGGCACCAGGGCACTGGAGAGCAGACAGTGGGAGGAAGGAATGGATATACCACACAAGAGGCCAGTTATGGCTGCACATGCATTTCTTACTGTAATAAAGCTGGGACTCAGGCCCAGAGAATTCTTTGGTGGGCCAAAGAAGAGCTGGCCCACCTTCCCATAAGGTTAGTGAACCACAGAAAGACTGTGACTTCAGAGCTAGCATCTGCACCCCAGGAAAAAAAATAAAAATCCAGCTTTCTGGAATCTCAGCCACTCCTTACACTTGGTCTAATGATCCCCTCTATACAGATGGGTTTACGAATTTTTGTTTAATACCTCTTATAACTTAAAACTCTGGGGATCTATCTGCAAGATCCTTTTCAGTCCCTGTATGAACCTAAAGAGGACAGCTCTGGAGACTTACCAGCTTTGATCAGATCTGTGCTGCAAATGGGGCATATTCAGTTCCTGAAAATTCACAGGAACAAAGGGTGCTCATCTGGAGAGGACTTGTGCTTTCCCTGTTGTGTCAGGGTAAGTTTAGATTGGATATTCGGAGGAAGTTCTTTACTGAACGAGTGGTGAGGCACTGGAATAGGCTGCCCAGGGAGGTGGTGGAGTCACCAACCCTGGAGGTGTTTAAAAAAAAAGTAGATCTAGCACTTGAGGCTGTGGTGTAGTGGTTAGGTATGCTGGGATGAAGGTTGGACTAGATGATCTTCAGAGGTCCCTTCCAACCCCGAACATTATGTGATTCTGTGATTCTGTTCAGTTCAGGTCACTGTCCCCATGATGTACAATTTCACTTACCAAATCTCTCCAGAGCATCAGCCATGGCCTGGTTTTTCACCATGTCAATAAGTCCCCGCCCGAGGCAGAAGTGGGGGAAGATAAGGAAGACAGACTTCAGGATGTCATTGATATTGTTCAGCTTCTGCTAAGACAAAAATCAAGTGCCAGTGAGCCACCTGAGCAGAAAGCAGCCACTACCAGCCAAGTGTGACCCATATTGTGATTGACCCCTCCCTGTTCCAACATTGCAACGGCACAAAAAAAAAAAATAATCAAGGATTAGAAATGCTCTCCCAAGAATCAGTGCCATGGCTCTTCTGGACAGTCAGTGTTGTTGCACTGCTCCAAATACTATTATTACAAGCAAACTCCACCAAACAAGAGAGTCCTTCAAATGTTCACAATCTAAAAGGCAGCATCTGCAAACAATGATGTGCAAAAATGCTACAGGCTGGGGAGACATGAAAGTCATGCTTACCCAGACTGTTTATCTCAGTGGCTGTGGATAACCCTCCCTATCCCATATTAGAGACTCTAATCCTTTTCTCCTTTGTTGTTTTCCAGTTGGCTTAGGCCACTGCTTAGACTAACAGCAGCCTAAGGAGAGGTTCTTGTTCTGTCACACTCTTATCTTCAAGCACATACATGTTTTTACTGAGCTAAAACAGGCTCTGTCATCAAGGGCTGCTGCCTTAAGCCCACAAGTAGTGGTACAATCAATGGATAACTCCCACAGGGTCACCTCAACCTCCTTCCACAAGGAACATGGGGGCTACTAAGACACCTTCTGTTGCTTACAAGCACGCAATGAACTTGCACCTTCCTCAGCAGGCATCTGGCTTTGGAAAAACTGATTAAGTGAGGTGTGTAAGCTCCCAATATAGTTAGAGAGGTATCTACCACAGGAGGCAAAACTGAGGGCAACTAAATGCTTGAGTGCTTGAAATAGCAGTAGTAGACAAGCTGCCCCTTATGGAGAACACAGAGGAAATTTCAGCTGAATCTAAGAAAATAATTTTTTCTGCCCTAAGGGGGATTAATAAGCAGAAGAGATTGCCCAGAGAGATTGTGGAGTGTCCATCCCGGGAAACCTGACGGCCCTGAGCAATCTGCTCTAACTGACCATACTCAGAGGTTGGACTACACAGTCTCAGGAGTTCTCTTCCACTTTAACTATTCTGTGAACATCGCTGAAGTGGGCTTTAACTCTTTTCCATCAGAACTGGTGTTTAAAATGCTGCAGTACCTAATGACTACAGGCCAGGGGCTAGCCTTTTTGGAGAACTGGCTGCTAAAGGCAATGTGACACCAACATAGAACTAGACTGTAGCAGCACAAGGCAGTGAGGAGCTTCTGGGTAAACGTACGTTGTTGGTGAAGAGCTCCAGGACAAAGGTGGCCACACTACCATTAATGCCAATGAAGAGGTTCATGCTGGTCAGCACAACATACGCTGTGCTGGGGATTTTGAACACGAAGGAGGCTGGATACATGAGAGGGGTGATGGACCACCTAGAAAGAGGAAAGGCAGCAACATCAAGTAAGCACGTTCCAAGTCTAAGAGCCTTTCCAGTCATCCTTCTGATAAGAAAATCTCTTACCCATAGAGAAACAGAAGGAGAGCCAGCACAGGCAAGTTGGAAGAGGATACATACGACTTCTGCTGGAAGCAGATGAAGATGATGATCACTAGTGTGGCTGGAACAATATAGTTGCACTGGAAGGTGAAAAACACGGCTTTAGATTTGTTTCCACGTGACAAAAAAATGGAAGTTGTCTTTCTGCTCTGAACCAATAATTTTCAACATTCTTAAGTGTTCCCAAATCTGTTTCCAATGGGAGACTCTAATGACTGTCATATGAGAACTACAATGAATTTACATTTTTTGGTCCCTTTAGAAGTAGCCAATAGACTTTCCGAGGTGCTGAACACCACAAGTTGAAAAAACCTGCTTTGAACAGACTAGAACAAGGGGCTACAGAGCAAACATTTTGGGACAGGTATTTTTAAATGACATAATAAATGCTGATGATTGAGCTTATGGTTGCCCTCCCATCATCTGTTTACTATTCCTCACCCCACTGAGGTGAACCACTGCCCCAAAAGAGTTAACACAGAGATCACAGACACAGTTGGTATTCACCAAATTCATGTGGTGTCCACTGGCCCAAATCACACTTTGCACTTCAGTGCAACAAACACCTTGCAGTCACAGAATGGAGGAAGTTTAACGCAGTCACAAAGCTCCTACCATATCCCAGACAAAGTTGGCCAGCCAGTAGATCACAGGCTTCACACCACTGATGAACTGCAAGTGTTTAGCCTTGCTGACACGTTCCTGAATAAGGAATATCACAAAGCTGGCAGGAACAAAGGACATGGCAAAGATCACACAGATGGAGACCAGGACATCCACGGAGGTGGTCATCCTACACAAAAAAA